CCAAACTGCCCCTGTAAAGTGTGAAAGGATTATTTTCTTTTACATGAGCATCCAATTGCTTTTCCTTTTCACTATTACCTTTTTCTTTTACATCCAACAATTTTCAAATTTCTTAGCAAGAATATATTCCATAAATGGAACGTGGAATGTGTAATATAAGAGCATCTTCAACTATGAATGTATTTTTGAGTTTTTTTTATAATCTATTGAGTCATGTCAGTTTGAAGTAACTCAACTAATTTTTCACTCTAATAGTGTAATTTTAAAGAAGTCATATTTAGTCTCACAATTTTATTTTATATATTAATATTTTATTCATATTAAATTTTATATCATTTAAAATAATAATTTTAATTATTTAAATTAAAATTGATATAAAATAAATAAAATTTAAATTAAACTTATAATTTAAAATGATAATTGAAATTAATTTCAAATACATAGCATATAATTAAAAACAATAAAAATAAATATCGCATAAATTAATCACACTTAAATTTCATCATCTTCGTGTCCAAAACATTCTCAAATATACTCGACTAGATCTCCTTGAAGTTGACGATGAACTTGTTTTTCACGAATATTTGCTCTTCTTTGTAGTCTCGTTGCAAGATTCGGATGAGGACCGCTAAATATTTCAGTTGTTGAGTTGTTGTTAGCCACATTATCATAAGAGTAATCAAAATTACTTCCATATGTATGTCGTTCATCTTCAACAATCATGTTGTGCAATATGATGCACACATATATGGTATGTTTGAGGGTGTCCATGTGCCAGACACGCGTTGGATCATGTATAATTGCAAATCGAGATTGAAGCACTCCAAATGCCCTCTCCACATCTTTTCTAGCCGATTCTTAATGTTGAGCAAATAATTTTTTCTTCTCTCCTTGTGGCATTAAAATGGTCTTTACAAATGTAGCCCACTCAGGATATATATCATCGGCTAAATAATACCCCATATTATATGGTGTCCCATTGATTGTATGTTGCACATTAGGAGCATGTCCTTCCAAAATATCGTTAAACACGTTGGATTGGTTTAGCACATTAACGTCATTGTTTGAACCTGCAGTACCAAAAAAAGCATGCCAAATTCATAAGTCTTGTGATGCCACTGCTTCAAGCACGATTGTCGGCTTTCCATGATCACCTCGACAAAATTGTCCTTACCATGCAACAGGACAATTTTTCCATTCCCAATGCATACAATCAATGGAACCCAACATACCTGGAAAGCCACGCGACTCTCCCATTTGTAAAAGATGTTCAACATCAGTGTTGTTAGGCTTTCTCAAATACTCAGCCTCAAATACATCATTCACGCCCCCGAACGAATCTTTGTAAGCATTCAATTGAAGTGCTTTCACCTATTCGAACATATTCGTCTACAACGTCAGCAGGAGACCCATACGCCAACATACGAATATCAGACGTACATTTCTGCAATGGTGAAAGACCCATTTTATCAGTTGCATCAACCCTCATTAAGAAATATTCATCATGATTTCCAAGGGTATCTACAATTCAAAGAAATACATGCATATGCATTCTGAACCTTCTTCGAAATTGAACATCTGTGTATACTAGATTTTCCGAGAAGTAGTCATTAAATAATCGATTATGCTCTTCTTCACGACTTCGATCTACCACCGTTCTTCTCTTTGGCATAGAGGAACTTCCAGATTGATTTTCATTCTCAAGTGGTTGTTCTTCATCACCGTCGTCCATAAATTCTTCTTCAACCAACTCCTAAAATTCTTGGTCAAAATCATCTGAATTGTCCGAATCCATTTTAGTGACTAAAGAATGAGAGAAAAATGATAGAAGAATTAGAGAAGTATAAGAGAATAATAAGATGAGAATGAGAAAACAATGACATAAGTGATAGTACATATAATGGTTTGTATAATGGTTAGTTTGAATAACGGCTAGTTTAAATAACAGCTAGTTTGAAGAATATAATTTTTAGTATAATTTAAAGTGATACTAATGACCATTTTACATAGGTGTTAATAATTTAAAGTGGTACTAATGACCATTTTACATAGGTGTTGATAAATTAAAGTGGTACTAATGACCATTTTACATAAGTGATACTTACTACATTCCATATTTTTTTCATCTTATTACAATATTTTTTTTGAAGATCTCGTTGAGTATCATTCATAGTAGAAGTGTCTTTCATGATGATATGCATTGTCTTTAATTCTAGCTCGTCCTCCTTACATTGAGCTAGTCTTTCCATTATTGCTGCTCTTTTTTAATCCTTGCATTTTGCATTGCATTTGGAATTTCCTTTGTCTTACCCTTCCTTTTTGCTGATTTTTGTTCCATTGAACGCTCCATTGGTGATGATGAGGTAAACTCATAACTTGAATGTGTATCTGGGTTAACCGATGATGCCCCACTAGCAGAAGTGTTTGTTATTTTTGAAGAATTACCAATCGATTCTCCCATCCATTTAGGTTCATCTTTTAACAATTGCCATGCGTACTCAAGATTGAATATTGTGCCTTCATCCTGAGTAAAAAAAGCATGTACAGCGGTCATGATATTGTTCTCCGATGTCCCACTTTTCGTTCCATTAACAGCTTATTTGTAACACCCAACAAATTTTTGAACCAAGCCATTTATTCGATGCCAATAACATTTTAATTACCCACCTAACTTTTCTCGGGATTGCCCATGATACTGGTTATAATTTGTAGTGATTCTTAATAAAAAACTCTCAGGTTTTTTATCAACTCCCACAACTGGATCCTTTGAAACATTGAACTATGATTGAATAAGAAGTATATCCTCATCCCTTGTAAATTTCTCTCAAGATTTTTTTTAACAACAACTGTTTCTTCTTTTTCAGTACCAACTTGAGTAGAAAATGGTGGAACTTTACATCCAGACATAAACCCAATCGGTGTTTCCGGATCATGATTAAAAAATTCCATACTATTAAAATTCATTTGAGGTCTATGATACATATTTGGATTGTTTGGTGATGGAAAAAATATGACGGAGTTTGTTGGCACCGATGGAAATTGAGAAATTTGAGGATTAGGATTTTGATAATTTTGCATGTAATTGAACAAAGCTTGTTGATAATGAAAATGATTAGGATCCATTTGGCCTAAACAATTTTAATTTGAAGGGAAAAAGTGAAAATTTAGATTAAATATTTTATCAAAAAAGGCTAATGAGAAGAAATTTGTGTGTCAAATTTTTCTAATAGGGTGTATTTATAATAAACTAATAGTGTTAAAAACAAAAGAAAATAAAAAAAAAAGAGTTGTTTAAAAACAACAAATAATTATATTAATTTTTTAATAAAAAGAACCGTTGCATGAAATTGTTACGTTGGCCAGCTGACCAACTCCAACGGCTTGAGTTTTAAAAGCTACGTAATACCACATTTAACAACTTTTGAAATATCCTCCGTTAGAGGTACTCTAACCCTTGTGTGCGGAAGATATTCCTAAAAAGACAAATTTAGTGTTTCTGAACTACAACTTATTTTGATTGTAAGGTGTTAACAAAGGAAAATATGCACGAACAATCACCTTTATTGATTATAATATGGTTGTTTATTATACAAGATAAAGTAAGGAGATAGATACTCAAGTAAATTTCAGATGTGGGTAGCATGTTGATGAGATAGACAACTGTTGATAAACTATGATCCCAAAACTTGATTGACATAGAAGCATGCGCAAGAAAAATTAGGCATATTTCTATTATATTTATTTGAAACGCAAGAAAAAAAATGTACAGTTTGATTTTGTTGGATTGACTTTTAGAAATAAAATCAAACCAAATCAATGTGGTTTGAATTGATTCAGTTGGTTTGATTTTTTACAAGATTTTTATAGAGCAAAACATACACATATAAAGGACAAAATAATTTTATGTTTAGTCATTCATACATTACCAAATAACAAAAAAACTTATTAAATTTGAGCAACAACTTCTCATTTAATATAACAACTTCTCATTTAATATACGAAAAATCAGATTAGACAAAAGTGGAATAAGAAACATAAAACAGTAGCATAAAATAATATTAAAAATATTATAATAAAATAGAAAAATAGAGGAGAGGATACACTATAGAAGATGAAAAAGAAAGAAAAGAAGAGAGGAGAGATTATAGAAAAAGAAATGTGATAAAAACAAAACTGGAAAAGAGAATAGTGACATAAAAATGGGGAGATGAAGAAAAAAAACATAACAACTTGGATATTAGAGAAGAAGATGTGAGATTTATGTGGCGAAGAAGATGGAAAAATATGTAATATTACTAAAAGAGAATTGATAAAGCTGAAATTAAAACCCTAAATGTGAAGAAGAGGAAATTGTTTGTAATCATAAAGTTAATACATAATAGATTTTAGTTTGTGTTGGATGTTAGTTAAGTGAAATTTGTATTATAATATAATGTAATTTCGTTGAATTTAGTTTGATTTACCAAATACAAACCACAAACAAACCGAACAACACAATTATATTAAAAAAAACTCAAACACATGAGAATCAATTTGATTTAATTTATAGAATACAAACCATAAATTATACCGGACAACACAATTTTGTTAAAAAATAACCCAAATAAATCTTAATCATATACAATTTTTTATAATTTTTAATTTAATTTAGTTTCGATTAAAAAAAATTATTGCACCGATTTTGAAATATCCTACTTCTAGTTAAATAATATAATTAATAAACAGGGACCAGTTTCTTGCTCCTATATTACTTTCTACATACATTTTAATTCAATATTTTAATATTTTCATATTTTAAGTAGCTCTTAGGTTGTAACGTGGTAGTAGTGTCCGATTTAAAACATATCTTATCTTCTTACTTTTTCCAACAAAGATAACATAAAAAACTAACTTAATCATTAAACTGGATTATAAAGAACAAATATTGCAATATTAAAACCTACTCATTATTAACATAACTTGACAAGTACATAATTGGTTTGGATAAAAATAAATGCTTCTTAAACATTAACATTTTCAGTATTGTGATGTTGATTCAAGGCATGAGACAGAGCTATTTCTTTCTTCTCTTGTTGTTCCATAGTATCACAAAGAACAATCCCTATAGTCTCAGGCAAATACAACAATGTAATATTGGATAACATTATAACAACTCCAAACACGCCATAAGAGAATATATTGTTCTTCCTCCCAGCAGATATCAGAAATGGACAGAATATGCAGCCAAACATAATCGCTTGTCTCACCAAGGATGTTGTTGTGTTCCGAACACATGTCGGAAATAGCTCTATAGTGTATATCAGGAACACATTATAAGCTGTACAACACCCAAAGAATGCAACCATTGCTAACACCACTTTAGCTGCCGGTACTCTATGCTCAATAACAGCACACATCACACAACAGATTCCACTTAAGACTGAGAAAACGAGAATTGAAGGTTTTCTTTTATAGTTTTCTAAGAAATATGTTGCTACGTAGGATGGAAATTCCATGGAAGCACTGAAAACCACTGACAAGTAAATGTTGAATCCCAAGTTTCCAACAGCTAGTGGCATACCAAAATAAACCATCCCAATCCCAAAAGAAAGAATCATGACGGCTATCATTCTTATAACAGTCCATCTTTTATGAAACAACTCTCCTACCGATGAGTAAAGCTGAAAAATTGAAAAGTTTTCTTTGGTGGGTGGTTTAGGTAAACTATCATGAGCAGTTTCTTGTGAAGAAACCCTTTTGAGCATTTTCAAAATATCTTTCTCTCGACCCTGCATAACTAGCCACCTTGGGGACTCGGTAACAAAGAAATAAGCAACGAGAGAGTAAATTATAGCAGGAATGGAGGAGGAAAGGTAAAGAGATTTCCAGGAAGAGTTTCGGGTTATATACGCGGAACCAGGTAAAGACATGTAACCCATTGTGAAAGTTAAATACTCAACAATTCCAACTCGGAATCGCCATTCAGCGCTCACTTTTTCTGTAAGTAAAACAAGGACACATGTTCCAATCGAGGAGCGCCAGAAACCGATCAAGAATTTCAAGGCGGAGTAAATCCAAACGTTGGTGGAGAAGATTATGAGCATGGATGTTATGGACATAGAGACACAAGAAAATATTAACATGTTTTTTCTACCAACAGATGTATCAGCTAAGGCTGCAAGAATGGAAGATCCAAGAAGGCAACCTACGAAGAAAGATGATTGTGGCAAACCAGTGATGAAAGTGGAAGAACATTCAAGGTTCCAATGAGAAATGATTGTGTTTGAAGGGTGTGTGTCCCAAGACCAAGAAGATCTTGGGAGTTTGCAAATATCAGAAGATGAAGAACATGTTGAATTAGTGTTAGTGTTAGTGTTAGTGTTAGTGCAGTGCCATTTTGGGTAGTTATCAGTGTAAATGCTAATGAAACATTGTTGTGCATCAAAGAACATTGATAATGCTACAACAACAGCTTGTAAGAAATCCATCCACCCAAAATTGGATAAACTTTTTTCTATGATTTCATCCCATGATAACATTGCTTTGCTTTGTTGCTCAGCATTGGAACGAGATTCGGTTACGTTACTTTGAACTGAACCTTCCATTGTTGTTCTTGTGTTTATGTTGAGGATAATGAGGAATGAGTGTGTGGTTTTGTAGTAGAGAAAAATAATTTGAATTATCATAAATAATTGAATGGAATGTAAATATATGAAACCGGCATCTACATCCATCATACTCATTTGGGTTCTTTAAATGGGACCCACATAATTTTTTATATTATTTCATATTTCTCAATTTTTTAAACAATCCATCTACAATTCTCAAATATCCATGTAACTCATCAAAAAATTTAAAATGGGTCCTACATTTAAAACAAATCAACTATATTCTTGCAATTTTATTTATTAATGTGGGATTTTGGATCGAACTCTAGCATGATCGAAGTACATGCTGTAGTCGAAGCATGTATTTGTCGAAGAATGCTTGTTAAATTAGGTTTTAGTGTTTAAACCCTAATTTGTTAAGTTAGCTTGATTATTAAGTTAGCTTGTATAATGGGCCTTGTGGAAAAAGCCCATTAGTTAGTATGTTAGGTTTTATTATAAATAGCATACTAGTCTCTCATCATTGCATCACAGCAAATCCTAATTTAGGGTGAGAGGGTTATTTGTTATTCTTGTAAACTTGTAATCTTGTTTTCAAAGAGAAAGTAAAGAATAGCAGTTATAACCAATTCTTGTGTTCTTCTTCTTCCTTGTTCTTTATTCTTCCCTTATTCTATACTTTGTTATTGGCATTGAATTCACAACAAATTGGTGCGGTGAGCGTGGAGAGGATGCCTTCAACAAAATATGAGATTGAAAAGTTCACCGGAGTGAATGATTTCGGTCTATGGCGCTTGAAGATGAAAGCCCTACTGGTTCAGCAGGGTTGTTTGGAAGCGTTGAAGGGAGCGACGGCGATGGACGCTGCGTTAACAGAAAGAGAGAAGACGGCCATGATCGAGAAAGCACACAGCGCAATTTTGTTGAGCCTTGGTGATAAGGTTCTTCGACAGGTATCAAAGGAGACGACGGCATCAGGGTTATGGGTGAAACTTGAAAGTTTGTATATGACCAAATCTCTAGTAAATCGACTCTACCTGAAGCAAGCTTTGTATTCATTCAAGATGATTGAAGACAAAGTGTTGGCTGAGCAGTTGGATATGTTCAACAAGCTGATTCTTGATCTTGAAAATATTGATGTAAAGATTGATGATGAAGATCAAGCGCTGTTATTATTGTGCGCTTTGCCCAGATCACATGCTCACTTCAAAGAAACCCTCTTGTATGGAAGAGAGTCCCTGACCTTTGAAGAAGTTCAATCAGCTTTGTACTCTAAGGACTTGAACGAACGTAAGGAGCATAAACCTTCGACGGTTGGTGAAGGTTTGGCTGTTAAAGGAAAATTCGACAAGAGGAAAGGTAAAAATCAGTCGAAGTCTTATAGTGGTGATGCATCTGGTATTAGATGCTATCACTGTAAGAAAGTAGGTCACACAAGAAAGGTGTGCCCTGAACGCCTGAAAGATCATGGAGGTAAGGATAATGGCAACGCAGCTATTGTCCAAGATAATTTCGAATCATCTGATGTTCTTGTGGTTTCAAGCAAAAACTCGTCGAAGGAATGGATTATGGATTCTGGATGCACTTGGCACATGACTCCAAACAAAGACTTGTTCGAGGAATTATGTGATCAAGATGGTGGATCTGTATTGCTGGGAAACAACAAAGCTTGCAAGATTGCAGGCGTTGGATCTGTGAGATTCAAGCTCCATGATGAGTCAATAAGATTGTTGACTGAAGTCAGGTATGTACCTGATTTGAAGAGAAATTTGATTTCTCTTGGTGAATTCGACAAGAAAGGATATGTTTTTCAAGGAGAGAAAAGTATCCTGAGAGTCATGAAAGGGTCGAAGGAAGTCTTGAGAGGCGTGAAGAAACAAGGCTTGTATACCCTTGAGGCTGAAGTTGTAAGTGGTTCGACAAATGTTGCATCCACGAAACCTTTGTCGAAGACAGAAATTTGGCACATGAGATTGGGCCATGTCAGTGAAAGGGGTCTGGTTGAATTAGGGAAACAAAATCTGCTTGGTGGAGATAAAGTCGAAAAGCTGAAGTTTTGTGAACCCTGTGTACTTGGAAAGTCCTGTAGAATGAAGTTCAACAAAGGCAAACAAAGAACACATGGATCCCTTGATTACATCCATGCTGATCTTTGGGGGCCTGCAAGGTGTCCATCACATTCAGGAGCAAAGTATTTTCTATCCATAGTAGATGACTATTCCAGAAAGTTATGGGTATTCATCCAGAAGACTAAGGATGAAACTTTTGAGAATTTCAAAAGTTGGAAGACTCTTGTCGAAAATCAAACTGGCAGAAAGGTAAAGAGGTTGAGAACCGACAATGGCCTTGAGTTTTGCAATGAGGCGTTCGACAGTTTTTGTGTTGCCTCTGGTATTGCAAGGCACAGAACTACCGCAGGTACTCCACAACAAAATGGTTTGGCTGAAAGGTTTAATCGAACTATTTTGGAGAGAGTTAGATGCATGTTGACTAGTGCGGGATTAAAGAAGGTGTTTTGGGCTGAGGCTGTTTCGACAGCAGCATATCTGATAAACAGATGTCCTTCGACAGCGTTAGATATGAAGACACCTGAAGAAGTTTGGTCGGGACATCCACCAGATCTCGACAAACTAAGAGTATTTGGCTGTGTAGCCTATGCTCACATTAGGCAAGACAAGGTCGAACCTAGAGCTCTGAAATGCATGTTTATGGGATACCCTGAAGGAGTGAAAGCTTATAGGCTATGGTGCCTAGAGCCAGGTCACAGGAGGTGTATCACCAGTCGAGATGTAGTTTTCAATGAAACTGAAATGGCTTTCAAGAAAACTGATGATGTTGACGAAGAGCTGGAACAGGTAGAGATTCCTGTTGAGGTGGAGCATGTTGATGCTGAAATGCGTATCCCAGATGAAGTCGAAGAAGAAACAGAAGATTCTGATGATGTTGAGGAAACTGTTGATGACTACCTATTGTCGAGAGATAGGCAAAGAAGAGTTATAAAACCACCTCAGAGACTTGGATATGCAGATCTTGTAGCTTATGCCTTAATCTCTGCAAGTGAAGTTCTAGACGAAGAACCTAGAGATTATAAGGAAGCTATAAGGAGTCGAATGAAGACTGAATGGCTAAAGGCCATGCATGATGAGATGAAATCTCTTCATGATAATCACACTTGGGAACTAATCGAGAAACCTGTTGGGGCAAGGTTAGTCAGCTGTAAGTGGATTTTCAAAGTTAAGGAAGGAATTGAAAGAGTAATGTCGAAGAGGTACAAGGCAAGATTAGTCGCAAGGGGTTTCACTCAGAAAGAAGGTGTCGACTTCAATGATGTATTTTCCCCTGTTGTGAAGCACAGATCCATTCGAATGTTGCTTGCCATGGTGGCTCAGTTCGACCTTGAACTAGAACAAATGGATGTGAAGACTGCATTCTTGTATGGTGACTTAGATGAAACGATCCTGATGAGGCAACCTGAAGGGTATGTCGAAAAGGGGAAAGAAGATTATGTGTGCAAACTGAAGAAATCTTTATATGGACTTAAACAATCTCCTCGACAGTGGAATAAAAGATTCGACAAGTTCATGGAACACATAGGTTTCATTAGAAGTCAGTTCGACCACTGTGTTTACTCCAGATTTCGACCTGAAAATTCATTTGTTATTTTGTTGCTTTATGTTGATGATATTCTGATAGCAAGCAACAATGTCGAAGATGTAATGAGGGTGAAGGCTGAACTCAATAAGGAGTTCGACATGAAGGATCTGGGAGCTGCATCTAGGATTCTTGGAATTGACATTCGAAGAGATAGAAAGCAGTCGAAATTATGCTTATCTCAAGAGGCATACCTACGAAAGATTCTTGACAAGTTTGGTATGTCGAATTCAAAGCCTGTTGTGACTCCAACAAACCCTCAATTCAAGCTGAGCATTGATCAATGTCCCAGTACTGATGTCGAAAGAACCTATATGAACAGCATCCCATATGCTAATATAGTTGGTTCTTTGATGTATGCTATGGTCTGTACTAGACCCGACATAGCATATGCAGTAAGTCTTGTAAGCAGGTACATGGCGAATCCTGGAAAGGCTCACTGGCAAGCGTTAAAGTGGATTCTAAGGTACATAAATGGGTCTCTGAACAGAGTCTTAATTTATGGTGGAGCCTTGGGTGAAGATAGTAAAGCAGCAGTCGAAGGCTATGTTGACTCTGATTATGCAGGCTGTATGGATTCCAGAAAATCTATTTCTGGATATGTTTTCACTATGTTTGGTACAGCAATTAGTTGGAAAGCAACTCTTCAGAAGGTTGTTGCCTTATCAACTACTGAAGCAGAATATATTGCCCTAACTGAAGCTGTGAAAGAAGCATTGTGGCTTGAAGGTTTTGCAAAGGAGCTGAAACTTCAAGGTCAAGGTATCACTGTTAAATGTGATAGTCAAAGTGCAATACACCTGTCGAAGAACTCAGCCTATCATGAGCGAACCAAGCACATAGATGTGAGGCTGCATTTCGTCAGAGGGGTAATCGAGCGTGGAGAAGTCCAAGTGCTGAAGGTCTCGACAGATCACAATGCCGCTGATATGATCACCAAAACATTGCCAAGTTGCAAGTTTTTCCACTGTATGCAGTTGATAAAGCTGCATGAAGAAAGCTAGTTAGTGTCTCTTGATGCTGTAGAGTTAGGTCCAAGGTGGAGATTTGTGGGATTTTGGATCGAACTCTAGCATGATCGAAGTACATGCTGTAGTCGAAGCATGTATTTGTCGAAGAATGCTTGTTAAATTAGGTTTTAGTGTTTAAACCCTAATTTGTTAAGTTAGCTTGATTATTAAGTTAGCTTGTATAATGGGCCTTGTGGAAAAAGCCCATTAGTTAGTATGTTAGGTTTTATTATAAATAGCATACTAGTCTCTCATCATTGCATCACAACAAATCCTAATTTAGGGTGAGAGGGTTATTTGTTATTCTTGTAAACTTGTAATCTTGTTTTCAAAGAG